CGTGCGTGCGTGCGTGCGTGCGTGCGTGCGTGCGTGCGTGCGTGCGTGCGTGCGTGCGTGCGTGCGTGCGTGCGTGCGTGCGTGCGTGCGTGCGTGCGTGTGTGCGTGTGTGTGTGTGTGTGTGTGTCTGTCTGTGTGTCTGTGTGTCTGTGTGTCTGTGTGTCTGTGTGTGTGTGTATGTGTGTGTGTGTGCGTATGCCTATGTGGCTTTTTGTTCCTCCTTCTTCGATCGAGCACTGCGCCTGGTGGGGCTCTATGGGCACGCCAGGACGCCTCGCCGCAGCTCGCGGAGCTGGGAGGGTGCGAGCAGGTGGAGCGGCAGGGCCAAGAGCAGGGGCAGGCCTTCTCAGCCCCCCTCGCATGGGAAGGGTGAGGACCAGGAGGAGGAGGACCACCAGGAGGAGGAGGAGGAGGAGGAGGAGGAGGAGGAGGAAGAGGAGGACAAGGAGGAGGAGGAGGAGGAGGAGGAGGAGGAGGAGGAGGACGAGGGGGAAGAGGAGGAGGAGAAGGGGATGTGGAACGGTGGGCCCACCCGGCCAGGGCCGCCCTCCGCGCAGCGGGCGAGGCGCACGCGTTCTTTTGCCTGCCGCCCAGCGCGGGGCGGCGCAGAGGCCTCTCCGCGCCTCCTGGCGGTGGGCTTGCCTTCCACCGCCACCACCACAGGCAGGAGGGGGTGGGGGTCCTCCTCCCCCTCCCCCATCCTCCCAACTCCTCCTCCTCCTCCTCCTCCTCCTCCTCCTCCTCCCCCTCCTCCTCCTCCTCCACCTCCTCGTCCTCGTCCTCGTCCTCCTCCACCTCCTCCAACTTCTAGTGCTGGTGGTGGTGGAAAGCAGGCCCATCATCCTTGCGCCCGGGCGCCGGGCTCTCACGCGCCCTTCTTGCGCAGCGCCGCCAGCGCCTCCGCCATCTCGTCCCTCGTGGGGAAACCAGCATTACGGGGAAATGATGGGCCTGTTCTCCACCACCACCACCACCATAAGTTGGAGGGGGGGAGGTGGAGGAGGACGAGGAGGAGGAGTAGGAGGACCCCATCCCCCTCCTAGTGATGATGGTGGCAGTGGAAAACAAGCCCACCAGGAAAGGCCTGGAGGTCTCGCGCGGCCAGGTGGAACCCAATGTAAGTCGGATCCACGTCGGATTCGCGTCAAATTCACGACGCATTGCGCCGGATTTACGCCGGGCTCACGTCGGAATTGGCGTCGGAACATCTGACGGGGCGGCCGCGCGGACTACATAGTACAACTGTTGCGCGCCGCGCGAGGACTCCAGCATTTTGCTCATAGCCAACAGAACCAACAGATACCGATACCGATACCTGCTGCCCGGACCTCTCCCGAGGCGAGTTCCGACCAGAACTTCGAGGCGAAGCCACCGGTGGCGTCGAGGGCCCCCCAGAAGGCCCAAAGAGGCGAAAACGGGGCAAGGGTAGCAGGATCGATAGCTTTTCCTCCTCTGACGTCATGGTTTGTTCCATACCGAGTCCCCTAAGGTCCCGACCCTTTCCCCAAGGGCGGCTGTTCATCCCGAGTCGTTCTTTGAACATTCCATTCCGGGGCCCAACGAACGGACCCCAGGGGCCGAACAGGGCCAAAATCCTTCCGCCATGTCTTTTCCACAACGCCATCATTTCTTGGTGTTGCTCCGCTGACCTCTTCTTCTTGCCACGCTTGTGCGTGCCCAGGCGCTTCTTGGCCACCTTCAGGGCCCGCTTCAGCGTGGCTGCGGAGCCGACCCTCGTGAGCATCGTTTGTCCGATCACCGATCCTGATTCCCACTGGCGTGGCCTTGGCCCCACTGGCCGTTTTCCCACCCAGGTGGGGGTCAGATCTGAATGCATATGTATACACCATACATACATACCTACCTACCTATCTACCTACCTACCTACCTACCTACCTACCTACCTACATACATACATACATACATACATGCAGACATGCAATCACACATACACACAAGCAAGCATAACAACACACATGCATACAAACATGCATACATACATACACACATACATATATACATACATACATACCTATCGGCATACCTACCTACCTGTCTACCTACCTACATACATACATACATACATGCATACATACATACACACACCTTAATCCATACCTGCACACATGCATACCTACACACATACATGCATGCATACATAAATGCATACATGCATACATACATACACATGCAAATGTGCATGCATGCACGCATGCACACATACACATATACATACACACACTTCTATATGCACACGTACACAGCTACACACACGGACACATACAATGGCACGATTCCCTTGTACATATATGTAAAGTTGTGACTGTTTTGTTTCTGGCCTCAAGGTGCCTTCCAAACCTATGAGGGTGGACTGGTGGAGCTGAGATCCCCGAAGGAGGAGAACGGAAGAAAGGAAGAAAGAGATGATGATGATGATGACGATGATGCTGATGATGATCATGATGGTGGTGGTGATGACGATGATGATGTTGATTTGATGATGATGATGATGGTGATGATGATGATGATGATGATGATGATGATGATGCGCTCGTCGGAGGCGAATTGCCCCGGCTGCCACATCAACTCATGATCAATATTCTTTTTGCAACCCATGCTGCGCAACAGATCGCCTGCCATTTTCTGGATAAGTTTGGGGCCCCGCGTCCCCGTCGGATTGAAACGGAAGTCCAGCCAGTGGACCTTGCCACGCGCTTTTCTGGAAAAGCTCTCCGAAACCTGTTGGACGCAGACACCCACTTGCGACGTTGCGATGTGACCCAATCGTGGTCTTGCTCGCTTGCCGCTCTGGTTGCCTGGCAATCTGGGTGTCGCTGCAGATGTAAAAGTCAAGACTGGCATGAAAACAAATCAATTGTCCACCACTGCGTGCCCGCTACCTGCTTGAAAGCGCGGTTCCTGCGTAAACAGACCTGCTGCGTCGTCTCGTTCGGCTCGCAGCGGAGCCGAAGTATCCACACAACGGCGTCTATCAACATAGATCTATGTGGCCTGGCACAGGGGCCACGACGCTACGTTTGCAGCGCAACAACCGCGCAAGTGACCGAGGGCCTTGGGATCCTCACCGTCGGCAGGACAGCCCAACGAAACCCGAAAGTGTCCTGGAAGACGTTGCTCTCAAAACTGACGCGGCTCGCTGTCATCATCTCCCGGCTGTCCAGCTTCAGGAGCACGCGGTGCTCGTTCCAATGGGCTGTCCCCACAGCCGCCAGAATGCAAGCTGCGGTGTCCACAGTGGGCGCGACGCCGAACAGGTTGTCGCTCCAGGAGCTGATGGCTGCCCAACATGAAACCAGTTTCGGCCCAGGATCAGCGGCACGTGCGCGCGGCGAGAGCATCCTCGATGGCAAACTGGGCCAACACACCCGCCGTGGCCGTTCCCATGTGCAAGCCGCTGACCCGTTTGAACTCTCGCGTCGTCGTGCCCACGACGTCAATGTGGATGAAGGAGGGCTCTGCGCAAGCGGATCGCAGCAACACCAGCAGCAGCAAGCTCACGAGAAGTGCCGCGAACGACCAGGCTTCTGGAGACACGGCTGTATCGAATCTGGTCCTGGTGTGCCTTCACGTCCGACATGGCCACTGCAGCCTCGTTGAACCTATCCTTCCCGATCTCAAAACACCTGCGCTGTCATGGCGAACAGGCCCTGCACCTGCCCGCCTTCCCCGCAACCCAAAACGAACCCCGACAAGGAGTGTGAGGAGGCGAACGACACCAGGCAAGGTTCCAGGACCTCTCTGCCATTTGAAGTGGCCTTCAGTCCCACGATCTCCTTTTTCTTATTGCCGATCGTGCTGGTCAAGGCGACGCCCCACCAGCAGACGTCACTGTTCAAAGCCTCTTCCACGACGGCCTTGGCTCCAGTGGCCCAGCCCGCCACGCGTATCGCGGCCACGCGGGCTACGGGCCTGCCTGTCTGGTCAGCCGCCTTGGTGCGGTCATCTGCGACGTTTTCAGCAGGGACCAACCGTCCCAGCAGTCCCGATGTTTTCAGCAGGGACCGAGCCCAAACATATTCTTAGAACCAAAACGGCAGTCTCAGCCAGAAATGTTCTAAGAACACTTTGCGCAAACCACAACCGGTTGTTAGAACATTCTTTGGTGAGCCTATAGACGAGCCCGGACGCTTCGCCACTGCTTGGAACGTTACGAACTTCAGGCTGCACCCAGCGACGCGGGACCGTCGTAACGGCAAACGGCAGCACTGTCCTCACCCCACTCCGCCGGGGGAGCGCCCCGTCTTTTGCAGAACTCGGCGAAGACCAGGGCAGCGCAAATACCGAAAAGCCGCACACCACGGAGCCCGTCCGACTGAAACCTCCGACGCTGGGAGAGGCTCACGAGCCATCCAAACCCATTCCACCTCTGACCCAGTTCGTGGCCATGCCCTGCGTCTCCATGATTCCCAGCGGGTTCAGAGCCCTGTAACAGGTTTTTGCGTATCTCGACACGGCGACTTTCGTTGATACCCATTCTCGATCTTCCCCTGATGGTCTTGACCCACAGGAGCTCGCAGCAGGCTTTGCGAACCCTCGAGGAACCCACCCGTCGAGTGACGGACACGATATACGAAACCATCTGCTCCCAATGGCCGATCGACTGAGAGAATTTCGCCGGTTCGTGGCAACGTGCCTCGCAAAACTGTGGTTTGTTTTAACTCGTCGCGCCGCTCGCAGCCTGAACATGCTGGGCCAAGGTGCGACGCATCGCTAGCGACAGAAAGGCGCACTGCGGCCGACACCTCGGAGGTCTTCAATTCCTTCCCCAAGGCTACACGACCAAAGCATAAATGGCAAGAAGTGCGCTATCGCGCAGGACCATTCGCCATAGCATGGGTCCGTCAATGTGGAGGCCTTGAGGCAAGATGGTCGCCCTACATGAGCTCCGTTTGGCCGCGGACTGCTCAGAACAAAATGGAAGGCGACACCGAAGACCCATGATTCGAAGCGCGCCTGTGCACAAGGGCCACGTCTCAAGCCGGGGGCTCCTGGAATCCGCAGTCTCGTCGCCGAACCAAAACGCGGCCGAATTGCGCGGCCACCGGCGAGCGAGGCCATGGACATCCGCCGAGCGATCTTCGAAAGCATCGCCGCGCGCTAAATTGCAGGAAAGAACAAACTTAAGCGAAACTGGTTGACTCACTACACGGGCGGCGCTGTAGTGTTGACCGTATGTTGGGAGTCGCAAAGACAAGCGCCGCGCCGGCCCCTCAGCTCCCCACCTCCGCGATGCAAAGCTGAGGAGACCGACAAGAGACGACGGCAATTGACCTCATCGGTGACGTCGTATTGTCGCTTCGTTGCTCAGCTTTGCATCGCTGGGGGGAGGGAGGGGGCGCGGGCTGCGCGTTCGCCCTGGCACGGCGACAGATTCGGCTACCGCCGCATGGGCGCGCCGCGGCATTTCTGCTTGGATCGCCTCCTGGACGGCGCAATCTGGGGCAGCGCAGTCAGAAACTATAGCACCTGGCGAATATCAGGCGACATGTGAAGAAGGTCCATGCGAACAAGCCGATCCCGCACTACACGCCCTTCAGTCGTAGTCTTGCGGGTTTGCGCATGAGCGCAGCAACTGACCACGAAGCTTCACGAAGCTCAAGGGCGAGGCCGCACACTGGAGCCGGGGACGCTGGAGCCAGGGCAGAAACACGCACTGCAGACAAACCCAAATCCCCACTCTCAGCCAATGGCTGCGGAGGACGAGGAAGGAAGGAGAGAGAAGGGAGGAAGGAGGAGGAGGTTGGGGGACGGGGGCTAGCTGGCCCAGTGGGGATGGGGATCGGTTGGACGATGCTCACCTCAGCAGCTCGATCATGCGGCGCTCGTAGGGCGCGAAGCCCGCCACCTCGCGCACCACCTCCTTGATCAGCGCGCCGCGCTGGGACTTCCTCGGGAGGGCACCGACCATGCACCGGTAACTGGACATGCTCGCATCGTGGCAAGAAACAAGACCACGGGAGGATTCGTTCATGTTCGGCCTACAGGGGCCCTCGCCTGGCCTTGGGACCACCAAAAAACGACTCAGGATGAAAACCCTGTCCCGGGAATGGGTCGAGACCTTCGGGGGTCCGCGCTGCGAAAGCAGAAAACAGCAACAACCGCAACAACTACAACAACAACACCACCAACAACAGCAGCAGCAACAACAACGAAAACAGCAGCAACGGCAACAGCTACAGCCACAACCACCACAACGACAACAACCACAACAACAACAACAACAACAACAACAACAACAACAACAACACCATCCACAACAACAGCATCCACAACAGCATCCACAACAACAGCATCAGCAACAACAGCAACAACACTACCAGCGGTAACAACAGCAGATCACAGATAAATTAAAACCAGTCGTTCTTATACGCGGGCGTGCCCATCAACGTGTCCCCCAAACCGTGGATACCAGTCCTCTTCGTCTTCGATCGTATCCCCTTTAGGGGGTATGTCGGTATTCCCTGCCACGTGTAATTGGCGCAGCTTTTTTAAACAGATAGCGCAGAACTGCTGGAAAGGGGAGAGCCACGTGGAGTGGAGCAGGGGAAGGAAGGTAGGAGGAAAGGTTAGACATGGGAAGGGAGGGGGAAGATGGAGGACGACGCTCCTAAACAGGAAAACGCTTGAACGGGAGGGGGCCACTGAGGGCTGCAAGGGGCCGGGAAGGGCAGCGAGAGGGACACAAAGAGCTACATCGGGGCCACGAAGGTCAGCGAGGGGGCCACGAAAGGCGACCGCGTGGGCACGAACGGCATCGAGGGGCTCAAATAGCGGGGCCACGGAAGGCATCGAGGAGGCCACGAAGGCAGCGGCGGGGCCTTCAACTCCGACTGTGGTATCGCGACGTGCAGCGAGGGGCATCGGAACGGGCAAAAAGCGGCGAAGGGCGACTAAGGGCCTTGTCGGGCGGGTCGGGCGGGCGGACCCTGACGGACGGGTCGATCGGGCGGATCGCGAGTGCGTGAGTCCTGCATAATTCGCCAGGGAGTCTCGGGCAAGAGCGCGATTCCCAAGAAAACTATGAGAAAGTCCAAAGCGAGAGCGAACTTGCGCGGCGCCTTCGTAAATTGAAAGGACGTCGAAGGCGAGAGCGCAAATCTTTTCTAAATTGCTAGGAAGTCCCATGCGGGAGCGGGGGGGTGGCAAAACATGGTGAAGAAGTGTCAGGCGGGAGCCGTTGTTGTTGCTGTTGTTGTAACAGTTCAGGGGCCAGGGGCCCAGTTTGAGCCTCACGACTTTCCCTGATAAAAAACCACGTGCGAGCCCCAGGAAGGGCAATTCAATTCACGAATGCCATGTACGCCGGAAGGGGAGGGGACCAACAATAGTTTCTGTTCAGGAATTAGTTAGAACTTAACCACGCTATCAGCAACACCAACAACAACAGCAGCAACAACAACAACAATCATTATAAGACTGATCGCAGCTACCTGCTCGCGTGCCATTCAGGACGTATGTCCCCAACCCTCGGTCCCCGCCCTCTTCGTCTTCGATCGCACCCCCCCTCTTGAGGGCATGTCTTCCTTGCCTGCCGCACGTAGCTGGCGCACTCCCTCAAGCAGCGGAAGCAGGCGGACGCACGGGCGCCGATGCCGCGGCCGGAGCGGCCGCGCGCCGCGAGGGCGACGGCGGCTGGGGGGGCCGTAGCCCCGAAGATGTGCAGGTGCAAAGGAGGGCAGAAGTGAAGAGGTACTGCGGGATGACGAATTTTATCTAAAAAATGGGAGAGAACGATTAAGCAAACAGTTTTCTGCTACTTCTGCACAGGTTTCTGACTGGAGGAGAACGGTACCAAAAATAGCTTTCCAGCCCGCGGCCGGTTTTTTCGAATCGTCATCCCGGGCGCCGCCGCGTGAACACGACCCCCGGTCATTTATTAACCGTCGTCCTCCATTACGGGGGACCCAGATCCCCGACGTCATGATTTTTTCATGACGCGACTCCCAGAGGTCCGGACCCATTCCCCGGGACCGGCTTTTCATCCCGAGTCGTTTTTTGACGGTCCTGAGGGCCGGTAAGGGCCCCCAGAGGCCGAAGATAGTGAAAAACCTCGCGTCGTGATTTTTTCATGACTCGATGGGGTCTGGGGAGGGAGAAACATGGAGCACGAGTGAGCCTTGCAGGCGTGTGGCCAGGAGCAGCAGCACAGGGCGGCAGCACCTGCCCCCGGCGTGCCGGGCGGGCGGGCCCCGACGGGCGGGGCGGGCGGGCGGGCCCGGGAGGCCAGGTCGAGCGGGGGGGGTCGCCACGGCGTCGGCCCATCACGGAGGAGGTTTCGAGCGATCACGCGATTCCTGAGTAAATTTAAGTCGGGCCTGTCCCCCTACAGGGGGGATCTTGGGCGTAAAACCACACAAATGCTTTAAACAGATCCCCGAACGGTTCAAACATAATAAGAAGTCGTCCCCAGACTATTCTTTGCCTATTTTGGAACGTTCCCCCTATACAGGGACAGGCCCGACTTAAAAGAAGATCGTTGGGACGTCCGATGCGAGAGCGTGCTATCTGTGAGTCCTGCGGGCACGGCGCCACGAGCAACAGGCAACAACAGCCCCAGCAATCGTTCCGGGACTGCTCGCTCTCATCCGCCCGCGAGGCACTCCACATGTGCAATCGCACCCTCGATACCAGCCCCCCTCGTCTTCGGCCATGCCCCCCTGGGGGTAGATCTTCCTCACCTGCCGCGCGTACTTGGCGCAGCCCCCCAAAAAAAATTGGAAGGGAGAACGGGGGAGAGGGACAAGGAGGAGGAGGAGAGGGAAGGATGGGAGCACGGCAAAGACCAGAAGGAGGGGAGTCGGGAGCACCCAGAAGATGGCCGAACCAGACGGACGGGTCTGCCTGGGGAACCCGAATGGGGCGCGTCGGGCGGGCGGGCCCAGACGTCTGGGTCAAACGGGCGGGTCGCTGAAGCTTTTTTTTTCGGGGGGGGAGGGCGGGTCGCTGAAGCGTCAATCCCGCATGCATCGCGAGGAGGGCCCGAGCGAAAGCCCAAGTAGATCACAAGGAAATCCGAGGCGAGGGCGTGACTCCTGCGGGTCGAGGGCGCGGCGTCTAGAGAAGTTGCAAAAAGGGCGCCGCGCGTGAGCGCGACTCCAGGATACATTGAGGAATGACTACCTACCAGACCACCCCAACCCAACCCGAAGACCCATATTTGACCCGAATTTCGGGTTGGGGGGGGTACGGGTTTCATGTGATTTGTCAGTGTTCCCCGATCCCCCCCCACTGGAAATCGAGGATACATTTGGGCATTCTGGTTGGGTTGGGGTGGTTTGGTGGGTGGTGAAGGAAGTCCCGGGCGAGAGCGCGGCTGTGAATACATTGTGAGCAAGTAGCAAGCGGGAACCGTGGTTGCTGCTGTTGTAAACTAGGGGGCAAGGGCCCAATCTGAGGCGCAAGACTTGCCCTTGAAAAGGACAGGGGGCTGCTCAATTGAAAAACACAATGGGCACTGCGAGGGGGGATCAACAATCATTATTCTTCAACAAAATAAGAATTCAAAAAGACAAGGGTCTAGGCACCGACCCTTGCCAGGCTCATCTCGGGCCCAGGATCAGTGTTCCTGCCCAAGCTAAGAAGGCGTACGTACAGAACCTGGGCCCAGGATGGGCCTGGCCAGGACTGGTGCAGTTGTACACAGGTGGTGCCCTCCGGCTCCTTCCGATGCGGTAGGACGGCTTGGCCTTCAACGTCCTACGGGTGGTGATAAAGCCCTTGTTCAAGCCCGCGGCAAGGCCCGTGGGCTCCGGCTTGACGTACCCAGGTTTCGCCATCGTCTGGTCTGCGAGAGACGACTGTGTCCTGCAACGTAACTCGTCCGTTAGCCTGGTCTTGAGCCAGACTGGCGAAGTATGGAAATTGGAAGTGGGAGGGCGTTGGATGAGGAGATGGGGCAGGAGAATCAGGACGAACAGGATGAGGTGGAAGAGAGGGAGACGGAGAAAGAGTAGGAGCGGCAGCAGCACGAACGTGGGATGAGCAGGGAGGGGGTAGAGAGGGGGGGAGCTGGACGGGCTGCGTCCCCCCCCCCTGGTGCTGGGGCAGAAGATGCCAACACGAGACACCAGCACACCTAGATGGCGCAGAGGACATCAGCATGCCTGCACGCACTCGCACGAGGGTATGTGGTAAAGACGGTGCCACTCCCCGCATATGGAGACCGCCGAGGCGACGGAACCAAGGCGTCATGCTTCGCCGGACCAGCGCGCCAAGGGCGCGGCAGAACCGCATATCAGAGACCCCCCGCGTGGAGCTGGTATGGGGGAGACCTGCAAGCCCAGCGCACCAGAAGAGGGCGGCAAGGCCGTCCCGAGACGAGTCAGTACGACACGACTCTGTGCGAGGCGGCTCCTGGGCAGTCCGAGGTGTGATCCAGACGGCCCGCTGACCCCCCACACACACACACACACACACACACACACACACACACACACACACACACACACACACACACACACACACACACACACACACACACACACACGCCCTCCAAGCAGGCCACAAGACGCCTCAGGTCCACCACACGTCTCTGTCTCTCTTTCTCTCTGTCGTTCTCTCTCTCTCTCGTGATTTTCTCACTCTTCCTTTCTCTCTCTCTCTCTCTTTCTCTACCTCGTTGTCTCTAGATTGTTGATGTATGTCTCTCTCTCTCTCTCCCTCTCTCTCTCTCTCCACTCTCTCTCTCTCTCTTTGTCTGTATCTATTTCTCGTGCTCTCCCACTGCATGACGCAAGGACGTGTGCACGCATTGCGCGCGTGCCTTGTTGGCGGGAAGTAGCAAAGAGCACGATTAACAACGGATCGGTCTTTTGTCCACATTTCCATGTTCCCCAGTACTTCCTTGTTCCATACTTCCATGTTCCCAAATACTTCCATGTTTATGTGTGTGCCCTACTTCCATGCTCCACTTCCGCTTCCCCATGCCTCCCAAACATGTTGCATACTGTCAATGTCTCCCGCATTTCCGTCATACATCAAGGTTTCGCCTCTGGGGGCTTTCTCGGCAAACCCTGCCTTGGGGCCATCTTCGGAAGGCGCCTTGGGGCCATCTTCAGCCGTCATGGGGCTCTCTTAGGCCATCTTGGGACCCTGTTGTGCCGTCTTGGGGCTCTCTTGGACTGCCTGGAAGCCATTTCGGATGGTTCGGAGACGATTTTCGAGACTCCCAGGCGGTCTCGGACGCCCAGAAGACCGAAGAACAGGGCATTCTCAAAATCATGCAAAAACCTTGGACAATCAATGATGCCTGCGTTTTGGAAGCCTCTCGGGGGTCTTCTTTGGGTGGTCTTCAAGCATCTGGTGGGTGTCTGGGGCCTCTTGGGGCCCTCGGGGGGGCGTTCGGCCGCCCTCCTGACCGATGTTTGGGCCCGTTGCCTAGGCCCAGCAAGCGCTTCCAGGAGCTCTGAAACGCCTGGGGGGGAGCCTCCTGCAGGGGCGTCCAGGGGGTCCGCGGGGACACGAATCCGGGGGGGGTCCAGAGGATCCCAGGGGCCCCGGATGCGGAGGGTTCGATGTGTTGTTGGGGGGGTCCCGGTATATACATATTGTGTATATGTAAACAAACATATATGGATGTATATATATATATATACAAATGATACAACGTATAATAATTGGTATGATGTCTGATTCGAAGCAATATGGTGTAATACGAGGCAGTCTAAAATAACATAACATAGCATGCTGCTATACAATATAATAATACTTAAGTGTGTATGATGCCGCATTACATATAGTATAATAACAAAACGTACTGTACAATATAATCAAACATAGTGTGCTAGACCACGATATCACACCATATAGTGCAGTGTGCTCGAAGAAACTACTCTGACATGTAATGACAACGCGCAATGCAATACACTGTGAGAACATGCAATACATAATCACATAGCACGGTCTATTCGAATAGTAACTGCTTTCTCTATACGATCGTACGATGTAGTAGCATGTCGCACATCAACACGAAATATCATAACGCATGCCATGTTATATGATGAAATCACATGGTCTAAACAATTGAATGTCGAATAAATTCGAATTCGCTATAGTATAGCTAACGTATGACAAAACAACACACCATATGTGTATATGGTATATGACGAAGTAAACATGATATGGCAAACTGCTCTAGGATATCTCACCCTATCATATCAGATTTAAACGGTATGTATATAAATATATATGTGTGCAGACACCTACACATGTCGATGTGCATCTATAAACTTACAGCTGCATACCTATGGAGGGCGTATACAAACGCATATGGAAAGAGATGTCTGGCGGCGTGTGTATACACATATGTATCGGTGTACAGGCAGACACTTCGCGTCGCAATGACTGAACATCTCCGCCCGAAGTCAGTCAGTCCTGACCCGTTGCGGCGAGGGCCCAGCCCAAATCACCACCACCCTCCTCCTCCCTCCTCCTCTTCCTCCTCCTCCTCCTCCTACCTCCTCCTCCCTCCTCCTCCCTCCTCCTCCTCCCTCCTCCTCCTCCTCCTCCTCCTCCTCTTCCTCCTCCTCCTCCCTCCAGTTCCTCCATTTCCTCCTCCTACTTCTCCTCCTCCAACTCCCTCTCCTCCTACTCCTACTCCTCCTCCTCTCCTCCCCTCCCTCTCCTCCTCATCCTCCTCCTCGTCCTCCTCCTCCTCCCGCCCACTTCCCAACTCCTCCTCCTCCTCCTCCTCCTCTCCTCCTCCTCCCTCCCTCCCTCCCTCCCTCCCTCCTCCCTCCTCCCTCCCTCTTCCCTCCTCCTCCTCCTTCCTCCTCTTCCTCCTTTCTCCCTCCCTCCCTTCTCCCTCCCTCCTCCCTCCTCCTCCCCTCTCCTCCTGTCCTCCTGCTGCCGAGGCCATGCCTCGCCCCCTCCGGGGGACGGCGGCGGTGGCGACAAGGGGGACAAGGAGACACCGCGACGGACGGCAGCGTACCCAAGCCATCCGACGAGACAGCTACCGATGCCAACGGGCATACACCGTGGGCAAGACAAATCCGAGAGTGTAAAACACCGAGGGTGTACAACACCCTGGGCGAGGGCATGCACCCAAAGAACCCAACAGGGTGTTAGGTTTGCCCTCTCAGTGCCGTCTCTCCTTTTTTTTACTCTGGCCTGTTACACCCTCGCCCTCTTGTATCCCCTCGGGTCTGTTGTGCGACCCCTCTGTGTCTTGCTATACCCTCGCGGGTTTGTTCTACCCTCGCGCTCCTGGCGGAAGACGACATGCCGTCGCGCCGCTTGCTCTCGGTGCGCCCAGGTAGACTGAGTATCGTTGAACCGATCCCCATCCCCAGCGGCGTGGCCTGGGCCCCACTGGCCGACTTCACCCCCGGGATGGGGACACAGGCCGCTCCCCTCGGGTTTCGAGGGGTGTCTCCCCAACTGGGGAGGTCCTTTGGCGGGGGCCTCGAAGGGGATGGGGATGGGGAGGGGGACTGGCTAAACGATACTTACCGAGAGACGCCGCCGACACCGCGGCAGACCCACGGTAGGCCCGCGGCATGCCCTGCGCTGCGCCGCGTGCGCCCCGGCCGACGCCGGCGGGCGCCGCGAGGCAGCCCCCCGGCGGCGGACCCGCCGCGCCCGAGGCGGCGCTCCTTCCTGCCCACAGGGTGGCCGCGGCGCCCTCCCCGGGCCGCGCGGGGCCGCGCGTCGGAGCCGACGGCGCGGCGACGTGCCGGTCCGATGTTCCGCGGGCCCCGTGCCCAGACGCGCGCTGATCTCCTGCGGGGCGCTGGTTTGCCCTCCGCCGCCCTCCGCGCCGAGCCGCCGCCGGCTCCCGCCGGCGGGGGGGGGGCCTCGCTTCCCTTCCGCCGCCCTGCCGCCGCGCGGCCGCCGCGGGAGAGATGGCAACTCCTTCGCTCCCCGAAGGCAAGGACCCTCTTTTTGGAGCGCCCCAGGTGACAGGCAACGCGATCCGTGGGAAGACCACACGGGGGGGCACGCCTGCGCGCCGCACGCCCCACAGGACTGTTTATTCGGGCGGTACCCGAGGAGACCAAGACGATACAGAGGGAAACTGGCGAGAAGACCCCGACGATCAGAGGGAGGAAGAGGAGTCCAGAGAGCAGGATGAAGAGCGAACTGGGCGAAGCCGAAGACGAAGACGAGGGAGAGGCGGAGGGCGCACGCAGGGCGATAGTCGATCTAGATAACCTGCACTCCGCTGGACGCCCCGGGAGCTCACGGATGCGGCGCTGGTCAAGGAGATGGCAGCACCCAGGGAGACGAGGGCGCGCAGCCCTCGGGAGCCCACGGAGCGGCGACGGTTCCACAGCTGGCAGCACCCGGGGAGGCGAGGTCCACAAATCGATTCCCTTGGCACCGCACTCCGTCGGAAATCCCAGGAGCCCATGAGAGCTGCGACAGCTGCGGAATTGGCAGCACCCCAGGCTGGCACTCCGCTGGACCTCCAGGGAGCCCACAACACCGAGGGAGGCGACGTCTGGACCAATTGTGCCCTGTGCTCCGCCAGGCCCAGCAGGAGCAAACGGACGTGGCGACACGTGCACTGTTGGCAGCACCCCAGGGAGGCGAGATCTAGTTTGGATCCCCTTGGCCCCGCACTCCGATGAACTCCCCAGGGGCCCACGAAAGCGGTGACAGGTGCGCAATTGGCAGCACCCAGGGAGGCAAGGTCTAGTCTGGACCCCCGTAGCACCGCACTCCGCCGGACCTGCCACGAGCTCACGAACGTGGCGACGGTTGCGCAGCCGGCAGACCCAGGGGAGACGAGGCCTGGTGCGGATTCCTTCCGCACCGTTCTCCGCTGGACCTCCCAGGAGCCCACGAACGTGGCACGTTTGCAGCCAATGGGCAGCACCCCAGGGAGGCGAGGTGCAGATTGG